ATTTATTCTTATTTTTCTGTAACTTTGGTTATGTTTATATGAGCTAGTACTCGAAATAAAGTATATTATTATTATTATTATTATAGTGACAGTCATTAGTCAGCCATGGTATAGTGACAATCATTTGCAGGCAATGGCATAATGACAGTCATTATTTGGCCATGGTATAGTGTGACAGTCATTAGCAAGCTATGGTATAGTGACAGTCATTAGTCAGCTATGATGTTGTGTTAGTCATTAGTCAGCCATGGTATAGTGGCATCTATAGCATAATGATAGTCATTTAGCAATCTATGATATAGTGACAATAATTTGTCAGCTGTGGTATAGTGATAGTCATTAGTCAGCCATGGTTAGTTACAGTTATTGAACTGTTTAGTCAGTGAGTGAGTGTGTAGTGACATCCATGCTGAATAACCCATACAAGCAACATAATATCTATAACCAACCAGTATTTGTTTACTAAACAGAAACTACAGCTTATTCATTAATGTTTTTTCGTAGTGTTGTCATAATGACATGTCTGGAGATGGTGATAACCAACCCAAACAAAACCACAAAGAGCGAAGGAAACATTCCCAGAAGGATAAATCACAGACACTGACTCTTCAACAGTTACATGGTGGTATGGGACTAGAAGATATCCCTCAGTCTACAAAGGTAACATGCACACATATAAGATACATGTAACTTGTTAAACTAAGAAATATATATTTACAGTCTTGTATCATTTTATACCTTTATATATCTGTCAGTTTGCCAGCTGGTTCAATGGTATAATAATTGTACAACTTATCTGGGATTTTACAAACTGAAATAATGATATTTTAAATATCGCACACAAATATGATAAATATATAATCTTGCCTTTCCCTTTATTATGTGACATCATTTTGGATTCATTTGTGACTCTTCATATAGTTGTATCCTTTCGCAGTCCTCACCTAATCTTTTGAGTAGCTTAAATTTGGGTGAATTCGTTCACATTTTCTATACTTTATACTGAATTCAATTTTAATTTTGCACCAAAATGTGACATTATTTTAGCTTTTGATTTGAAATATTTGCAACATTTTATGTGTAAAAAAGCAGAGTAAATGTAACTATTTTGTGGATGGTGCCTCATGTTGACTTTGACACTTTAAGGGTTATACAGGGAGTCACTCTTTCAGAAAAATTATGTCTCTCACCTACCGATTTTCATCTGCCATACAGCCAAGGAAATCACCAGTTGTAGAGGATGAGAAGTTCTTTGAAAAAGTAGAAAAAGACGTTGAAAAACTAGTACTTAAAGAAGAAAGAGATAGATTTAGAAAAGTAAACGACGTAAGTTACAAATAATATCAGAAGTAATGTCTCTTGATATTTAAAAAATCTCCAGTGAGTGGCTGTGTGATATCTAATTTATTGAATGAGTGAAGTAATTTACACATGTTCTAAGCCTTTTGTGAGCAGGGACAAACAAAAATTACTATATTGAATGAGTGAAGTAATTTACACATGTTCTAAGCCTTTTGTGAGCAGGGACAAACAAAAATTACTATATTGAATGAGTGAAGTAATTTACACATGTTCTAAGCCTTTGGTGAGCAGGGACAAACAAAAATTACTACACAAATTTGATATATCCGATATCACAGTGATTAATTGGAGATCTTATTTATCCAATGTCTTCGCTTGGCAGATTTTTTTTCCATACATGTATAAACATCAGTATCGTAAAATGTTGTATCTCGTTTCTATACAGAAAGGTCGTTTTTTGAATACAGTTTACCGACAAGTTTTCACTAAATGTTTTTGATGATTTCCCATGAAATCAATATATTCATAGTTTTAGGGTTTTGCTAACTTTGTAAGTAACTTTATCAGCAGCTTCTCTTGAGTTATGGTTGGAAGAATTAGTAAAAATAAAGAATTTATATGTGACTTTAACATAACTTAGGTGAATATCTGAAATTACAGGGATACAACAGAAATGTTAATGTTTACTATTGTTAAGATAGTGCGCTACAATTACAATTGATCACAGTAGATCATTAAAAAAAATTGTTGTTTTATGATGCACATACATGCATGTCATTCATATTTAACATTTTTATGGAGAAAGAAGGATGCGTTTACAAGAAAAGCAGCCATTTTGGAACATTTTCCATAGTAATTCATGTAAACACATTGTTCCCTAGATAACTTATACTCATATTCAAAATTAACCCAACCCCTTCTGCTAGATTTCAAGAATTTCTGAGTATTTTTATTAATGGTAACAAACTATCTTAAGTTGTTTTTTAAATCTTTTACTGTATCACATGGAACAGGCTTGATATATGAAATATATGTCATGTATGTGTTTGCATATCCTTTTTGACATACTGTATCACATGGAACAGGCTTGATATATGAAATATATGTCATGTATGTGTTTGCATATCCTTTTTGACATACTGTATCACATGGAACAGGCTTGATATATGAAATATATGTCATGTATGTGTTTGCATATCCTTTTTGACATACTGTATCACATGGAACAGGCTTGATATATGAAATATATGTCATGTATGTGTTTGCATATCCTTTTTGACATACTGTATCACATGTAACAGGCTTGATATATGAAATATATGTCATGTATGTGTTTGCATATCCTTTTTGACATACTGTATCACATGGAACAGGCTTGATATATGAAATATATGTCATGTATGTGTTTGCATATCCTTTTTGACATACTGTATCACATGGAACAGGCTTGATATATGAAATATATGTCATGTATGTGTTTGCATATCCTTTTTGACATACTGTATCATATGGAACAGGCTTGATATATGAAATATATGTCATGTATGTGTTTGCATATCCTTTTTGACATACTGTATCACATGGAACAGGCTTGATATATGAAATATATGTCATGTATGTGTTTGCATATCCTTTTTGACATACTGTAAAAGGGTTAATTATTCACTGGGTTTTAATAAAAATGCGCTAAATTAAAACTCAGTGAATTATGTAAAATTT